TTGCGAACTTGACGTAAGTTATAAGATCTATTTATTCACTACAGTAACCGTAAAATAAGATTGCAGTGACGCTCGTGTAAGGAGCTATAATCTTAATGTGCGGGAATACGGTACAAAAAGACGCGCAAACCATTTTACTATACGTCGTCTTAGCGTGGAGACGACAGGTGTACCGCAGATAATCATGCAAAGCTTCGTGTAAAGTTGCAGCAAAGGTTATTTGATACCATTTTGCACAGGGACATCTTTTCGCGAAGTAACTTTATGTACAGAACCTCTTTTCATACACCACCATAACCTAGCAGTAAGTCAATCATAAATGAAAGAATATTGTTCAAACTTTGTATATCGAACGTCTCGTTGTAGACTTTTTAGGAAACTTTGTACATGATGGTCAGTACAATCCCTAACCACGAGTTTATCGCTACCGTACACAAAGTATATCGTTCGCGGGAAATATATATATTCGAAGTCAACGTAGAGAACTTTGTACAAACGTTTTCGGACATATCCGTGTTGTTGAGAAGCTAAGATAAGTGAGAGCGACGTCTACTCACATTTATCCGAGCTTAATTCCAAAGCGGCATTTATTCAAATATGATGAATAGAGAAGTTGGTGCTATCAGTTATAATGTAGAGCTACAATGCAGATTTATGTATTAAATTGAGCTGTAATTCGGCCACTTTCGAAAACCAAGCAACCTTCTTGCGAAGAGCGAAAGAAAAGGGAATGGATTGAAATTAAGTAAGTCATGAAAATACCAAAACTGATGAAAAGTTCACCGCCAATCGTTTATTATGATAGGATGTTGATATTTGATACTAGAGTAAATTGATCCTATCTCTTGAGATCTCGTCTACATCATATCCGGGTCACGTCACAGTTACATTATTGAAAGACACAGAAAACTAAAAACATTGTCTAATGGAACCAAAACACAACAAGAGTACATGAAACAACATTGGAGAATTTAATGCGAACGAAACTGAATAGTTTTAATAAGAAAAGGGCGAAAAAAAAATTTGAGGAAGAAAAGGCAAGTATGGAAATCGATGATATGATGGTATGTCTGGAAAATCGTTTCTCCTAACAAACATATCGAACAAGAAAACCAAGTGCAATAGCTTGAATTAAACACGTTGTGATGGTTGCGGGATATAAGCAAGAAGTAATCTAGTACCCAAGTCTCAGTAAATTATCGTTAAAAGATGATTGCGAAATAGGAAACGACCTCAAAATTCATGCAGGAGCAATTGAAAAGAGTTTGATGGTCAATCAGCGGCTTTCACAGAAAGCAAAGAAAAGAAATTAGGCTTTTAAAGTAGAGAGAGAAAAGAAGAAGATATCTAATTTTTCATGCCAGAATCTCAATAATTGTGGCATTCAATTTACGCAGGAGTTCAGAAGATTTCTTTGAGTAAGTAAATTTAATAGAATATCCAAAATGGCAATAAATCAATGGGTTACGAATGTTGGCCACTATCTCCTCTGTCAGCTGCACATGGTTTCAAGATTATTTCCTCGCGAGCTGCCTATATAGCTGTGGAGTGCTTTGAATGAATAGAGTGCTCTGTGGAGTGCTTTGAACAATTTTATTATCTCCTTTAGCGCAGCCGTTGTTTTAGAGACTGTAATAGTGCTTGCTCAACGATATAATATCTGGAGATACTCCTCCTTAGATGTAAGAGAATTTTTTTTCTACATATAAAACTTTTATCATTCTTTGCCAAAGACGCATCTGCTTAATTGGCCGGTCATCAAAAAGGGCTATTTCGCGATAGCGCTTTTTGTCAGCGTTGACCTACGTATTTGATGTTTACATTTCGTAATCAAAACATTTCCTTCTCGTTCAAAGACTTTCTAAGACATCGACAAGCTGATTCCTATCCGTCTTATATAAGGCTTTCACAAGCAAATTTGTCTTCCCTCAGATAAGTGATGTGATTTGTCTCTTAAACTCAATAGTAGATAAACTTCTCAAATTTGCTATACCTAATCTTTGGGTAAGATCCAAGTTTACTACTACAACCCTTGTTTATGGCGATCTAACATAATTCTGTTTACCAAAATTCTATAGCATGGCTGTAGATGCAAAATGAACGGGATTTCTGTAATCAAAGTACAGCACAGTCCTCTATAAAATTTTGCTGAAAAAAAAAAACAACT